GTCCCGGGGGCCAGATTCTGGGCTGGGGGTTCCTCAGAGGGAATGAAGGGGACTTGCTCCATTCTCAGTCGGTGGCCCGAAGGGACGGGCTTTGAGCTCAGTGATTTATGCAGCGCCTAGCACAATGGGGGCCTTGTTCAAGGGCGGGGTCCCTCAGCGCTACCGTAGTACACCTAATACGCCTGGCACAAAGCGGTCCTGGAGTGGGAGCGGGCCCTCAGGTGTGACTGTATAAATCGTCAGCTGGTCTTCCCAGCTGCACGGCCCAGGCCGGGGATTCCCAGCCAGCCCTCCATCTCCAGCCCCTCTCTGGTGGTCGAGCTAGAGTGCACCGGACGCCGTCCCGTCTTGATTTAAAGGCTCTAGTGAGGGGGATTTCTCCCCCAGCCTCCAGGCCCTGGATCAGTTGTCCTGTTGGTTCATTCCCTCCCGTGTGCCGGTGCACCGAGCTCCCCCCGCCTGCCTAGCTACTTACCGACCGGATCAAGCAGCCTTTCGACGTTCCCTGAGCTAATTCCGCTCGGGCTCTGCACATGGGGAGACCTGCCGGCCTCTTCCCCCTCTCAGACAGGACTGGCTTTGGGGCCCAGCCTTCGGGTCTATGGTGGGGCATGGGGCAGGGCTGTAGCATGGTGCGTGGTGCCCATTTCTCTGCTCCCCAGGGCCCAGCGTGGTGCGTTAGAGCAGGCTGCTGTCCTTCCTGTCGCCACGGGGAGGGGCTGCTGTACACGCAGGGCGTGCAGATGGGTTATCAGGTCTCCCCACAAAGGTCCCATTCAGTTCCCCTCCAACTCTCCAAGAAATGGCCTTTGCAGATACAAGATCCTGCCTCTGAATGCGGACAGGTCAGGGAAGGGAGAGCCCGGGGAAGTTTCAATGGGGCGAGATTAGAGTTTCCCTTTGTTGGGCTGCAATGCAGCCGGGTTCCTGCTCATCCGTGGCCGTGGTGATGTTCTGATTAAGGCCTTTGGGGACCGCCCCGTGCGGGACAGAGCTGGGCCTTGCCTTGTCTTCCAGCATCTGCCATCAGCCAGCCTGTGTGGGAAGGGAATTCGACCCCTAGAGCCGTCTCAGTTCCCCCTAGCCTGGGGGAGGGCTGCAGAAGCAGGATTGGGACTCGGATAGTCCCAGCTCTGTGGAGGGAAAAAGGCGGGGGCGGGAGCAGGGAGACAGGACTCCTGGGTTCTCATTGGAGTTCTGGGAGAGCAGTGAGGTCTAGTGGTTGGAGCAGAGAGGCGGCTGGGGGTGGGAACTCCTGGAGGAGGAGAGTGAAGTCTAGTGGTTAGAGCAGGGAGGCGGGACTCCTGGGTTCTCACCCCTGCCCCAGCTCTGGGAGGGGGCTTGTCTAGTGCTTCGAGTGCGTACGGGAGCCCGGACTCGGGTTTTATTCCTGGCTCTGTCACTGCGTCTTCCTGCTCCTCAGTTTCCCCATCTCTGGGGCGACTCTCACCCTGCTGGGGAGCTGCAGTGGCATCCGCCCGGCGCTCAAACCCTCGTGGGACTCCTGGGTTCTCACCCCTGCCCCAGCTCTGGGAGGGGGCTTGTCTAGTGCTTCGAGTGCGTACGGGAGCCCGGACTCGGGTTTTATTCCTGGCTCTGTCACTGCGTCTTCCTGCTCCTCAGTTTCCCCATCTCTGGGGCGACTCTCACCCTGCTGGGGAGCTGCAGTGGCATCCGCCCGGCGCTCAAACCCTCGTGCCTTTGCATGCGCCCTGTTTGTTTGAGCAGCTGGGTTGGGCTGGGCTTCCGCTCTCTCGTACCTGTCAGGGGAAGGTCAAGTTACTTGGCACCCGCCAGCCTCCCTCTGCCTGCGCTGCCTTTGTGCTGTTTTCCTGGCCCAGCGCCCCTGCCCCGCGAGCGCGCCGGGAGATCGCTCGCCACCCGTCTCCGGCCAGGTGGGGAGATGCGCGGGGCAGGGGGCGGGGCTGTTAGCGATCGATCAGCCGGGCAGGTGCAAAGGGGCCTCGGGGCTCGGTGGAACTGCGGCTCCGGCGGGTCGCGGAGGATCTGAATTCAGCTGGCTGCTTGGCAGGTAGGGTGCGGGCAGCGCCCTGGGCGGGCCGGACCCGGCGTTACGGGCCATTCAGCTTTCAGCCTCTCTGAGCTGCTGCCAGCCATGCTGCTCTCGGCTCCGCATCTGTCACGGGGGTGAGGGAAATCTGGAAGAAAGGGTCCGGTGCTCGTAGCAGGGACTGCAGGGTGGGTCCTGATCATAATTACAGCCTGGCCCCCCATCTCGTGGGGGACTCTGTGCTGCACCTATCACAGTGGGGGGGCCGGTTTTGTTTGGGGAGGGGCTGTGCTGTGCCCAGCACAATAGGGGCTCCTGATGCGGGAGGGGGGCTGGTCTGTGCTGGGCCTGGAGCAGCCGGGGGCCCGGGCAGG